AACAGCTATGTATTATATCAATCGACAAGGTGGTGCTTGATTCTCTCCCCTGTCAGGGAGTCCTAGCCCTCTGGGATCTCTGTATTGCGCAAGGGATCCACCTTCAGGCCTCCTCTACTGGGGACTCTCAACATCCTGGCGGAGAGACTCAGCACATTTTCTGCTTACAGCTGGTCCCCCAGTGCGACCTAAATTTTGTGCTCAGGGGGCTCATGTGCCCCCCATTTGGGCCCATAGCCATGTGTTCACTCTCCCATCTTTCATGGAAAGTGGCTTTCCTTGTGGCGATCACATCAGCCAGAAGGGTCTCTGAGCTCAGGGAGGATGTGACCTGCCATCTTTTTTGCAGGTTGTCTGTGATTCTGGTGGCTCCAGCAGGGTCGAGACAGCACTGATATACCACTCTGGTGTTGCTGTTGGTAGAGGACCCCCATCTCCCTGCTGCTCCTGCCAGACCTGCAGATGCAGGAGCTGGATCAGGGTCACCTGTGCCATTCAAACCTGCAATCCTTCCACCTCATAGCCTGAAAAATCTGTGGTTTAGATGTGGAGAATTTCTGTGTTCGGACCCGGTTAGGTGGGTACTGATGGAAAGTAGGAAGTCCTCCACTAGGGCACCTTACAGGGCTAAATAGAAGCGGTTCTCGGCCTGGGCAGCCCAGTAGGGAGTGGACCTCCTTTGGGCTACTATCCCTCAGATTCTGGATTGCTTTCTCGAGCGTAGGCTGCAGTGGTTGTCCATCTCTTCAGTGAGGGTACGCTTGACCGCCATTGCTGATTTTCACCCTGGAGATGGTCTGTGTTTGCCAATTCGGTAGTTAAGCATTTCCTGAAGGGTCATGACAGGCTCTATCCCCAGATTAGACAGCCAGTCCCCTAGTGAGACCTACATTTCGTGCTCCAGGGGCTCTCACCCCTGTTTGGGCCCATAGCCATGTGTTCACTCTCCCATCTTTCATGGAAAGTGGCTTTCCTTGTGGCAATCACATCAGCCAGAAGCGTTTCTGAGCTGACGTCCCTTACATCGGAGCCCTCGTACACCGTGTTCTACAAGGTGGTGATGCTCCCGCACCTGGCCTTCCTGCCCAAGGTGGTATCTCCATGCCATATGTCTCAGGACATTTTCTTATTGGTCTTCTACCCCAAGCCTCGTGGACCGGAAGGAACAGGCTCTACAAAAACTCCCTGGGTCAGGGACCATATCCTCATATGTGTCTGCACAGCATTGAGAGTAAAGAGAGCGCTTGCATTTTATTTTGTTGGAACAAAACTGTTTCGTAGGTCCACGCAGCTTTTCATCACCATAGCTGAAGGGCCTCCTGGTGTCAGCCCAGTGCCTGTCCTCATGGATCACAGCATATATTAAGATGTGCTATGACCAAGCGGGGAAACCAGCCCTTCTTCTTAGGGCCCATTCTACCAGGGCCCAGGCCTGCTCTAGCACAAGTTCCGATACTAGACATCTGTAGTCATCGGTCCATACTTTCACAAACCACTGTGACCACTCAGCAGGCTAGAGAGGATGCAGCCGTTAAGAGAGTGGTGTTGCAGTCTATTTCCTACTAAGTTCTGACCCCCTCCTCCATGGGTACAGCTTGGGAATCACCTAGGTGGAATGCACATAAGTACTCAAGAAAAAAGTTACTTACCTTGTAACTGTTGTTCTTTGAGATGGGTTGCTTATGTCCATTCCAAATCCCATCCACTTTCCCTTAATCAGAAAGTCCAGTTAGAAGGAACTGGGCGGGGGGACCAGCAAGGGTATATATGGGCCAGTATAGCCGTGCCACTCCAGGGGGCTCCCTGGCTGGCCCAACGGATACTGCTAAGGGTAAAAAGCTTCTAGAACTCATGCACATGGTGTGCACACATGTAGGTGGAATGGACATAAGCAACACATCTCGAACAGTTATGAGGTTAATTGTTTTTCCTGCTCCATGATTTTGCCCACATTCTGCCATATATTTTTGTGGTATGGTAGTTTCAGATGACAACTCAGAACATGTTAAATCAAATAACACTTTCACTGCAGATTTGACAAAGCACAAAAAAAGTGTTCAATATCAGATTTAAATATAGCAACAGTACTCCACTCAAGGTTTAAGAATGTCAAGTGCCTTCCAAAATCTAAAAAGGAGAAGCAAAGCATATGTTCAGAACTTTTAAAAGAGCAAAACTGGTGCAAAGCTACAGAATCCAAATCACCAAAAAAGAAAAATAGCCTTCTTTTGACGGCATATAACTCAGATGTTGATGAACATGTAGTGAGTCACACTGCTCTTGATTGTTATCAGCATGGATGTATGTTGTCTGAAATGGTGGTTGAAGCATGAAGGGACATGAATTTGTAGCATAACTGACCAATGTTCTCTCAATGTTTTCCATCCATGTGCAGATTGAATTTTGGTACATACACCAATATCAAGACAATGTGCGGATGTGTACTATTATACAAATAAAAAACCACACATACATATTTTAAGTGTAAATGTAGTTTAAAAGATATAGAAGTAGTATAACATGATAATTAACAAGGTGCACTGCTTAAGATGTTTAATATAAAATCAAAGAAAATTAAACACTGCCTGTAGAGTACATGTATTTTATCATCCTTTCTAACAACTCAAGCTAATAAGCATGCCAAGATGTTGTGCATTGAGAACAGCTATATAAATAAAACCAAGTCATGGCCATTAAGTGAAAGCAAGAAAAACATGCCCCAGTGGCCCAATTTAACGACCTATCCTACCATAAACCACTAACTCTCCAAGGAAAGCTGCCCTTTTAAAAAAAAAAAAAAAAAAAAAAAAAAGGGTTAGGTGGGTACTGATGGAAAGTAGGAAGTCCTCCACTAGGGCACCTTACAGGGCTAAATGGAAGCGGTTCTCGGCCTGGGCAGCCCAGTAGGGAGTGGACCTCCTTTGGGCTACTATCCCTCAGATTCTGGATTGCTTTCTCGAGCGTAGGCTGCAGTGGTTGTCCATCTCTTCAGTGAGGGTACGCTTGACCGCCATTGCTGATTTTCACCCTGGAGATGGTCTGTGTTTGCCAATTCGGTAGTTAAGCATTTCCTGAAGGGTCATGACAGGCTCTATCCCCAGATTAGACAGCCAGTCCCCTAGTGAGACCTACATTTCGTGCTCCAGGGGCTCTCACCCCTGTTTGGGCCCATAGCCATGTGTTCACTCTCCCATCTTTCATGGAAAGTGGCTTTCCTTGTGGCAATCACATCAGCCAGAAGCGTTTCTGAGCTGACGTCCCTTACATCGGAGCCCTCGTACACCGTGTTCTACAAGGTGGTGATGCTCCCGCACCTGGCCTTCCTGCCCAAGGTGGTATCTCCATGCCATATGTCTCAGGACATTTTCTTATTGGTCTTCTACCCCAAGCCTCGTGGACCGGAAGGAACAGGCTCTACAAAAACTCCCTGGGTCAGGGACCATATCCTCATATGTGTCTGCACAGCATTGAGAGTAAAGAGAGCGCTTGCATTTTATTTTGTTGGAACAAAACTGTTTCGTAGGTCCACGCAGCTTTTCATCACCATAGCTGAAGGGCCTCCTGGTGTCAGCCCAGTGCCTGTCCTCATGGATCACAGCATATATTAAGATGTGCTATGACCAAGCGGGGAAACCAGCCCTTCTTCTTAGGGCCCATTCTACCAGGGCCCAGGCCTGCTCTAGCACAAGTTCCGATACTAGACATCTGTAGTCATCGGTCCATACTTTCACAAACCACTGTGACCACTCAGCAGGCTAGAGAGGATGCAGCCGTTAAGAGAGTGGTGTTGCAGTCTATTTCCTACTAAGTTCTGACCCCCTCCTCCATGGGTACAGCTTGGGAATCACCTAGGTGGAATGCACATAAGTACTCAAGAAAAAAGTTACTTACCTTGTAACTGTTGTTCTTTGAGATGGGTTGCTTATGTCCATTCCAAATCCCATCCACTTTCCCTTAATCAGAAAGTCCAGTTAGAAGGAACTGGGCGGGGGGACCAGCAAGGGTATATATGGGCCAGTATAGCCGTGCCACTCCAGGGGGCTCCCTGGCTGGCCCAACGGATACTGCTAAGGGTAAAAAGCTTCTAGAACTCATGCACATGGTGTGCACACATGTAGGTGGAATGGACATAAGCAACACATCTCGAACAGTTATGAGGTTAATTGTTTTTCCTGCTCCATGATTTTGCCCACATTCTGCCATATATTTTTGTGGTATGGTAGTTTCAGATGACAACTCAGAACATGTTAAATCAAATAACACTTTCACTGCAGATTTGACAAAGCACAAAAAAAGTGTTCAATATCAGATTTAAATATAGCAACAGTACTCCACTCAAGGTTTAAGAATGTCAAGTGCCTTCCAAAATCTAAAAAGGAGAAGCAAAGCATATGTTCAGAACTTTTAAAAGAGCAAAACTGGTGCAAAGCTACAGAATCCAAATCACCAAAAAAGAAAAATAGCCTTCTTTTGACGGCATATAACTCAGATGTTGATGAACATGTAGTGAGTCACACTGCTCTTGATTGTTATCAGCATGGATGTATGTTGTCTGAAATGGTGGTTGAAGCATGAAGGGACATGAATTTGTAGCATAACTGACCAATGTTCTCTCAATGTTTTCCATCCATGTGCAGATTGAATTTTGGTACATACACCAATATCAAGACAATGTGCGGATGTGTACTATTATACAAATAAAAAACCACACATACATATTTTAAGTGTAAATGTAGTTTAAAAGATATAGAAGTAGTATAACATGATAATTAACAAGGTGCACTGCTTAAGATGTTTAATATAAAATCAAAGAAAATTAAACACTGCCTGTAGAGTACATGTATTTTATCATCCTTTCTAACAACTCAAGCTAATAAGCATGCCAAGATGTTGTGCATTGAGAACAGCTATATAAATAAAACCAAGTCATGGCCATTAAGTGAAAGCAAGAAAAACATGCCCCAGTGGCCCAATTTAACGACCTATCCTACCATAAACCACTAACTCTCCAAGGAAAGCTGCCCTTTAAAAAAAAAAAAAAAAAAAAAAAAAGTTATGGACTTTCCAGTTCACAGAACTATTCCCCTTGCATACATATCTGCACATATAACTAAGTTTTAATAAGCTATGAGTCAGCTATAGAAATAGTCATGCTCTTATTGCAAATATTAATAAAATAGTTTGTTACTGTAAAGTAAAAGGAATTCACTCAGGCTTATGCTATTTCTTTGGGATGCCAACTCTTTTCTCACGCAAAATGGTAAAGAAAAGGAATAAGCAAAATGGTTCCTGGCTTCACACAGTGTCACCAATTCAAAAATGTAATAGATTCATTGAACTTTTACAAATCCCTTAAGTACAGAAAGCATATTAACACATGGCTTTGGAGTTTTCACACACATTCGGAGTCTTTATCATATAAATTACTTACCACTAAAACACTAGAGCTTGCTACTTTGAGTCAATGGGAATACTCTACAGAGCCAGAACCATATCAAATGGCAAAGATCTAGCTTATATGGTCAGGGCTGGCTTTAGGGAAAATGGTGCCCTGGGAAAACTTGTCTGATGTGTGGCACCTCGCGCCCCCCACACACTTCCATTGGCTCCCCCACCCTTGGACCCCTATCCAGTGCCCCCTTGTCATTAACTCCTGCATCCTAACGCCTACATTGTGCCCTTAGTTGCACCATTTTGTCACCATCACCCCCAACCTCTGCACTTCCCTCCCCCCTGCACCCTCAGCTCCAGCCCTGCATTGCCACTGTGTCTACCACATTGTCTCCCTGCCTCAGGAGAAGGCTGAGAGTAGGGTGTCTGGCCAGAGGGAGGGAGCAAGAGCAAACTGGGTTTGCAGGGGTGGAAACCACTTTCCTGACTTCCATGGGCGGTGAGCTATATGGGCTCGTGGTGCCCATGCTCCAGCAACATCCAGAGCTGGGGACCCTGCTCCAGCAATATTTGGAGCTGGGTCTCTCTGGCCCTGCTTGGAGCGGGCCCTGGCCCCCCCCCCCCGTGCATCCTCCCACCCCGGCCCCAGAGTCTCTCTCCTCCAGCCCCGTCCCGTCCCTGCTGTGCACAACCTTCACTGAGCTCCCCCTTGCCGGCTGCTGCTGCCCTGTGCGGCGTGCTCAAACTGGTGGGTGGGGAGACGCTTGGGTGTGACGTAACGTCACGGCCCGGGATTTTAAAACTGCTGGGTGCTGTGTTGTGCCATGTGGCTGAGTTGTGGGTTCAGAGTCCGGGGACAGAGTGCAGAATTCAGCCTTGCAAAGTGGAAGGCAGAAGGAAGAGGAAGGGCTGAGAGAGGAAGGGGCTTGTGAGGGGGAGTGGAAGGGAGAAAACTAGGCAAAGGGCTGGGAAAGGAAGGGGCATGTACGGAGGGGGAGGGGGAAGAAAGGGGAAGGCACCAAAGGGACAGGGTAGAGGGGAGAGAGAAATGCTGGGGGCCAAGTGCAGACAATGCAGAAAAGGGCAGGAGGGGAGGTTTCAGTGGGAAGGGGACAGGATGATGAGAGGGGAGAGAATAAGGGCATTGGAGACCAGAGGGGACGGTGCTGGGAGAAGGCTTGAAAGAAGGGGTGGGTATGAGGAAGGCAGGAATGGAGCAAGTCATGTGTGAGGGCACAGAGGAGAATGGGGGCAGAGGGTGGTGAGGGGGTGGGCATCAAGGAAAAGGAGGGAAGGGGTAGGCACCAGGAGGGGGCAGGGGTAAGGGAAGGTGCAGGTGCTAGGGGATTCTAAGGGTGAAGCAGAAGGGCAGACACCTGCAGGGGAGGGACCAGCACCAGAGGAGAGAGGCAGGGCAGGTTTGTAGAGGAAGGTGTTAGAAGAGGGGATGAGGAGGGGTAGCTCACATGATCAGAGTGGGGCTACTGGAGGAGTGGGCACAAGTGGGAGAGAAGGCCTGGTGGAGGGAGGCAGGTTGCAGGAGAGCTGAGGGCAGTGAGAAGGGCAGGAGTCAGGACAGCAGAGAAGGGTGAGGAGTTGGGGGGCAGCAGGCACTAGGGGAGCTGATGGAACAAGGGGAGGAGACATGGCAGCAGAGAGAAAAGGTAAAGATTTAAAAATATTTATTAACTAGGATGTCACAGTGGCACATCCAAACAAGCCACATGAACTCAGTACTGGTGCACAACACAAAATTCATTCTGCTCACGGGAGGAAACTCTTAGGCTATGTCTACACTGGCTGTTTCTTGTGCGAGAACATCTTGCGCAAGGCTTCTTGTGCGAGAACATCTTGCGCAAGGCTTCTTGTGCAAGAAGTCTTGCGCAAGAACATGTCCACACTACCATGTGCGAGCTGTGCTTTTGCACAAGAGCATCCATGGCAGTGTGGACGCTCTCTTGCCCAAGAAAGCTCCGACGGCCATTTTAGCCATCGGGGTTTCTTGCGCAAGAAATCCCTGCCGAGCATCCACACTGCCCTCTTGCACAGGAGAGCTTACACCTGTTAGAAAAGAGCATAGCTCTTGCACAAGACGCCCTCTCTTGCCTATTGCGCAAGAGAGCTTGCACCTGTTAGAAAAGAGCGTAGCTCTTACGCAAGACGTCCTCTCTTACCATGCTGTACTGTACATTTCCTTGTGCAAGAGCAGGCGGGCAGTGTGGATGCTCTGTGGGTTTGTGCGGAAGAACGGCTGTACTTGTGCAAGAAACTGCGACTGTAGACATAGCCTTAGAGGGAACACTTCCCCCAGCCTCTCTGCCCCCGAGTTAGTCACACACATTGGGTTAATGCAATTGCAGGATAGTTGCATGAGGGGGGTTTGGTGGGGGCCAAACTAATCCCTGTTGGTAGGAGGATGGTGGGAAAAGCCCTTCTAGAGGGGTGATATGACACCTTTTACTTCTGGCCATGTGTCCATCTTGCCCCGAGCTTGTTACCTTCAGAAGCGTGGCTAACGGGGCAGGAGGAGCAGGCGGTGTGGCTAAACGGGGCCAAGGGGCGTGGCTAATGGGGCACCACCAAAAATTATACAAGCCTGCCACCTGTGCTGACTTCATGCCCTGTGCCGGTCCCAGGCACTGCCTCCGCTGCTCGCATTGGCCAGATTCCATTGGAGCAACCCGCTTGGGGCGGGGGGCCCAAGCCTCACGGTGAGATCTGGCTGGTGGGGGGAAAAAGGCTGCAACATCTATGTGGGCTCCCTGCTGTGGAGGGAAGGAGGGGAGCTTAGCTCGAGCCATGGCAGTGCATTCGCACCCTTCACACACACAGCCGCTTTTCCGGAAAAACTTGCCAGCTGTCTACACTGGCTACTTGAATTTACACAAAAGCACTGACTTCCTACTGTAAGAAATCAGTGCTTCTTGAGGAAATACTGTTCTGCTCCCGTTCAGGCAAAAGTCCCTTTTGCGCAAAGCTTTTGCGCAAAAGGGCCAGTGTAGACAGCTCAGATTTGTTTTCTGCAAAAAAGCCCCGATTGCCATTTTCTCGTGCTTTTGTGGAAAAGTGTCCGTGCTAATCTAGACGCTCTGTTCCGAAAATGCTTTTAACAGAAAACTTTTCCGTTAAAAGCATTTCCGGAAAATCATGCCAATTTAGACGTAGCCACACTGTGGTACAGGCTTTCAGAAAGAGAAAAGCCAGCCAGCAGGAAAAAGGAGCTGAAGGGGAGGGGTAGGATTCAGAACCCTTGCAGCACTCACCTGGCTGCAGTGCCCTTGGCTTAGGCCTGGATCGCCTAGCCCTAAGGCTGGTCCTATACATGGTTTCCAATCTCTCGTTCCCAAATTTGTTTGGAGACTTATGGAAATCACGTTTGGAATCCAAGTGATTTCCATTAAGAGGTATTTCTCTTGGCCACTGGAAACTCCAAGCTAGAGTTGAGACATGACAGGATAGAAAATACAAGAGTGACATTGCAAATCAAACTTTAAATGTGTAATACATGTTCCCAGACCAAGCTAAATCCAAACATTCCACCCACAATCCCTGTTTCCCACAGTACCTCACCTTGCATGTCCTCTCTGCAGTGTCCAGGAGGCTTCTAATTAGTGGAGCCAGGTCTGCATGGCTCTGCTACTTAAGTGGGTGGCCTTTCATTCCTCAGGCAGCCACCCAGCCATGCACATTAGAGGGAACTATGTATTTGGCATGTAAATATTTTCAATGCTGGTTACAACAATGCCATGCAAATGCCTGTTCTCAATTTCAGATTCTACTGTAAACTAGAAGCAGGCAGCTTTACCCCCTGCAAATGTAAACTAGTTGCTTGAGCAATTTGCTGAACAAGAAATAGGACTGAGTGGACTTGTCAGCTATAAAGTCTTAAATTTTAGGGGTTTGGATGCTGTTATTTATGTGCATAAATCTACATGTCAGTTCAACTTTCATGATGGAGATTGCACTACAATGTTTGTATTAGGTGAGTTGAAAAATATTATTTTTACAGTTCAAATATTTAATCAAAAATAAATATGAAGTGAGCAAGCTACACTTTTGTATTCTGTTAATTTGAAATCAATATTTGAAAAATGTAGAAAACACTCTAGTTTAAAATATACTGAATGTGGATATTAAATTTTGATGTTTGATTTCCCAAATGTAGCTTCTGTCAAAAATCCAGAAAACATTGAGAAGTTTTTTTCTATAGCCATAACAAACAGAAACATCCTACAGCAAAAATGGACCTTTCTTCACCATGACCTCAGTTTAAAACTGATGGTAGAGCTTCTGGTATCAAGATGGCGATATAGGAACTAATAGCTACGATAGTGCATACTTCTGGTGCAGAAGAGATTTAAATGGAAAGGATGGAATTTCTGAAGAGATCATAGTGACTGGATTCTTGCTCTTTGGTCTTAGTCTTGTTCTAAAAGCACATCTGGAATTCCCAAAGCTGAATTTTGATGTCTTCAGACAGCACCCTGTCATACACTTCACTGCCACGAGGTAGCTTGTAGCACTCTTATCCAAGTACTGTACATTGTATGGCTGTAGCGCTGGAACGTCTGGTACCAGTGTTCTAGGTGGTTAGGTCTCCAATGCTTTGGCACATAGAGGCAGCTTACCTCCAGAACAGTGCTGTGTAGAGTATTTCAAAA